TATCTATCTTTTTTATACTAAGGTTCTACTATTACAAAATTCAAAATGGTTATGATGAGCCGTGTGATAAAAAGGAAAGATGACGTGGTAGGAAATCATTATTCGTTTCTTTTAAATATTTTCTTTTCTCTAAAGAGAATATCATATTCATGATTAATATTATTTTAATATTACTATTCAAACTATTCTTCACTAGTTGCCACCGAAAATAAATTCTATTCTGTTTTCAATGACTTCATTTACAATAATCTGGCGCCTACAACTCCTCAGTCGTGATCTCCGTGTCTACAACTGGGCGCTTCAGTTCATTGCGAACACCCTAATCATTTCTATGGCTGTACAGTATAAGCTTCACAATGGCTCTCATAAGGTTTCGTATTCAGACTTACTCTTCTCCTAGACCCTTTGTCAATCACAGTGTTCAGTTTTACCTAATATTAAACTCATAGATGCATACCTTTTCCCAGGGTATTTGCGTTAAAGTGAATACAACGAATTCGGTTGGAATTCGAAATCGGCTCACCGATTTCTTTTACCCAACCACTAATTATTATATTACCTGCACAGACATAACTGCTATTTCCTACTTAATTTCGATTATTTATCGTGTGCGGCAAATACATTTACTCATTATTCATTTTATCATAAAATAACATGTTTTAGATTTTGGTTAATGGAAGTTTACGGATGGAGTGTTATATTTGTTGACAATATTTTACATATGTTTACAATTCAAAATGGCCACCTTTGCTTTCACTGAAACCCTTAATGCAACTGAAGTGCATGACTATCTTTTTTACCAACTCTATTTCACCACGATGTCACAAGAGTTTCTTTCAAGACTGACACACTTGAGTATAAGTTGGACCAATAATCATAATAATGATGATGATGATGATGATGATGATGATGTAGCCCCCACACTTCGTTAGTTTGCACAACCGAACCAATACCTAAAAAATAATGCACTATTCCGTTTTGACCGGGTGGGATGAATGGGAAAACATAGCTTAGTTTCAGTGAAAAAAAGAAAGAAAGAACGAAAGGAAGGAAGGAAGGAAGGAAGGAAGGAAGAAAGAAAGAAAGAAAGAAAGAATGAATGAATGAAAGAAAGAAAGAAAGAAAGAAAGAAAGAAAGAAAGAAAGAAAGAAAGAAAGAAAGAAAGAGGCGAAGAGAAGAGAAGATGTTTTTAACGTCTCCTGCCAATACCTCATAAATAATGGAATATTCTGTTTTGATCGCGTGGGAGGAGGGGGAAAACACAACTTGGTGTCAGTGAGAAAAAGAAAGAAAGAAAAGGAGGAAGAAAGGAAGAAAGAAAGAAAGAAAGAAGAAAGAAAGATAAATGTTTTTAACGTCTCCTGGCAATACCTCATAAATAATGGACTATTCCGTTTTGATGAACATCGCACTTCGCAAAGTCCATATGGAGGCCTACTTAATTTATCAAAATATGGCTCTTCCACCAGATATGCCTGGAATTGATCGTGTGTGCGGAAACTTTGTCTTGAATTATGACATAGCAACTTCTAAATCTGGTGACAACCACGGCAACGCATCTGTTTTCAATATTTGCTGTATGAACATCACCCAGGTCCAGTTACAGAGTTCGAATTCCATTACATTCACTCACCGGGTCTGTCCTGCTATTTACCCCTATCTGGGAAGAGGAGAAGAGGATTCATACCTTTCCCAAGGATATTAGCAATATGAATCACAGATTATATTAAGACCCACTAACCACTTAATTTGCTGACAGAGGGAAGGTTACTTACCATTTGAATGTACTTGAAACCCGATATATTAAGCCTTAGCAATCGTCCCTCTGTAAACAGAATGTTTGCTGATTTTTAATTTAATCTTTCTTTAATTCATATTGTCACGGGTTGTGCGGCTCGGATTGAGGAATTGGAGAGCCGAGTTCGAATTCTAGTCAAATCCATTACATTCACTTACGTGCTAATACCCTTGGGAATGGTATGAATCTTATTCTTCTCCCCCAGCTATGGGTGAATAGCAGGAAAGACCGGGTTCTCTAACCTTGGATGGCAACTGGTCTACCGCAGAAAGAAATGGCAACCTGCTACGGGAAAAAAATCGACCTCGTCAGTCATGTATCGAAAGATACATGATCGCCTAAACTTGTATCACACATAGCACATGACTGACTGATTGATTTCTGGTATGTACTCATTTCTTTCCGGGTCCCGCCCAGGGACCTAAAGTCAGAAATGGCATCATGACATTTTCCACTGAGCAATTAAAAAAAAAATAAATAGATAAAGCCCTTCGTAATGTGTGAGCTGTACACGTGAGAACAATTTTTTTGTATTTCTTTAAGGCATTGGCTGCCAGGAATCCCTTCAATTAGTCTATTGTTCAATTTTCAATTATTATTACTATTATTATCAATTTCCAATTATTATTATCATTATTAATATTATTAACTAGACTATGAGTGATTCAGCGGGTCACTAACGATTCAGGTTATAAACCATTGAAGTTTATTTCAACGTTCCATTGAAATGAAAGTTAATTTTATTATGATTCTGTCAAATATTTCGGTTCGTTTGTGTCATCATTAGTCTGATTTACAAGTTCATGTTTAACGTTTTCCTGATTGTGTGCAGCATTTAATAGGATTAGAACTTCCAGGATAATCTTGAACTTTAAATCGGATTAACTTAATATTTTTTTAATATATCAAAAATAATTTTAAATTATATTCACTTGAAAATAGTCTTTAAATATACCAAAAAATATTTTTTTAAATATTTAAAATATTTTTTGTTTAAAGAAATCTGGAATATAAATAATTACTCTACAAACAACTGGACGGAACAGCAAATCGGGATCTCTTTGTGTATGTCTTTAAATTAAAAGTATTTTAATTAAAAAAAAATGTCTGTTTGAAGAAAGTTAAAATAAAAATACTTACTGTATAAAAAAACTCGTAAATTATTAGGCGCCGGACGGACGCAACACACAAGCACACAATCACAGACTTTTAGTATTATATAGATAATAATTCTAATGATAATAATAATAATAATAATCTGCAACTTCTACGGGAAGGAAACTGAAAGAAACTGGTATGAACATCACCCAGACACGGTTACGGAGATAGGACCTGTTACAATTCTATGGGACTACACAATACACACTGACAGAACAATCAAGGCCAACCGGCCAGATATTGTTATTAAAGACCACAAACAAAAAAGTGCCTCCTTATTGATATGGCAGTCCCTGCAGACTGCAATGTATCTTTTGAAGATATTCAAAAAAGCTGTCAAAATACAAGAACAGCAGAATAGAAATCTCTAAAATGTGGCATATGGGAACATCAGCAATCCCTGTTGTAGTTGGAGCCCTAGGACTGGTTGGAAAAGATTGCAGTAGACTAATTGAAGGGATTCCTGGAAGTCCATGCCTCAAGGAGATACAAAAAATTGTTCTGACAAGTACAGCCCACACTTTACGAAGGGCTTTATTTATGTAATTTTTTTTTTTTTTTTTTGTCAGTGGAAAGTGTCATGATGCCATTTCTAACTTTATGTCCCTGGGCGGGACTCGGAAAGAAATGTGTAAACGCCAGAAATCAAAGAAAATAAAAACAATAATAATAATAATAATAATAAATCGGTTTTCAAAGATACCTGGAAACTACAGAAGACTGGATGATGATCTGTGTCAAAGAACATGAAAGAAATAAGAAACTTTATTCAGTGATGAATTCAAAATGGAATTTCAAGTGGGTGAAAAAGTGTAAACAAACAATAATACACCTACTGCAGAACTTGAAAAAGAAAGTAGAAGTAAATGCAATGTACCAAATACAGAAACGATGTCAAGATAAGCCTCTTCATGGTCAATACTTTGTCCGTAGCAAACAAGCTGATGTAGACAAACTCCGTACTCATAAGTTGTTAGGTAGTGCCGAATCAAAAGCTGGAGCCAAAGGTTTTATTCTTGCTGTACAGGACCAATACTTGCTAAGTAGAAATTACCAAGTATACATAATGAAAAATTCTGTTAACCCGAAATGCAAATTCTATGATAAATATCCAGAAATAATTGACCATTTTGTATCAGGTTGAGCAGTGTTGGCACTCACTGCATATAAAACTCGGCATGATAGAGTGGGCTAATATCTGCACTGGAAAATATGCAAATTTTACGGGAAGAAAACTGCAAGTAACCGGTATAAACATCACCCAGATCCAGTTACAAAGATAGGACCTGTAACAATTTTATGGGAGTTTACAATACACACAGGAAGAACAATCAAAGCTAATCGCCCAGACATCGTGATCAAAGACTACAAAAAACGAATGTATACATGAGGACATGAATAATCCCAGTTGTAGTTGGAGCCTTCGGGTTAAATGGATAAACTCACAAGTTCTGCTCACATATTACGAAGAGCTTTATCTATTTAAAATGTGTGTATCTTAGGGTTTTTTTTTTTTTTTTTTACAAAAATGATCACTGGGAAATGTAATGGAACCATTTCTGATCTTAGGTCTCTGTTTGTAACCCAGAAGGAAATAAGTATACAACAGAAATCCAAGGGGCTAATAATCGTAATGATGATGATGATGACGTAGTCCTACACTTCGTTAGTTTGCACAACCGAACCAATACCTCATAAATAATGGACTATTCCGTTTTGACCACGTGGGATGAGGGGGAAAACACAACTTGGTTTCAGTGAGCGAAAGAAAGAAAGAAAGAAAGAAAGAAAGAAAGAAAGAAAGAAAAAGAAAGAGGGGGAGAAGATAGATGTGTTTAACGTCTCCTGCAAATACCTCATAAATAATGGACTACTCCATTTTGATTGCGAGGGAGATGATGGGGAAAACACAACTTGGTTTCAGTGAGAAAAAGAAAGAAAGAAAGAAAGAAAGAGAGAGAGAGAGAGAGAGAAGATAGATGTGTTTAATGTCTTCTGCAAATACCTCATAAATAATGGACTATTCCGTTTTGATCGCGAGGG